CTATTGCTGACAGAGTGTGAGAACAAAGGGAGATTGTTACGGATTGGAGTTATTTGCATGCACTCTATTGCATTTCCAGCAGAAAAGGTGAAAAAAGAGGACTGTCAAGGTTTAGGAACTATCTGTAGTTCAGTGAAGCTTTAAATCAAGTTAACACTCTCACAGCCCTTGGGGGATTTACATAATTTCCATAACATGTAGCATGTTTTTTGCTTCCCAATAGAAGCCAATCAGTTATGTAAGCAAATTGGTTGCATAATTATGCAGACGAAAAAATAAATTTAATTGATTCAACCAAAATGTGTGCTGTTCATTTCACCTAGGATGGCTTTTAACCTGTTGAGGAATAAAGGAGTTGGGAGAGGTCATCAGCAAGTGGCACTGCCAGGTACTAGCTCCATTGCACAGTTTGCTTCCCAATAGAAGCCAATCAGTTATGTAAGCAAATTGGTTGCATAATTATGCAGACGAAAAAATAAATTTAATTGATTCAACCAAAATGTGTGCTGTTCATTTCACCTAGGATGGCTTTTAACCTGTTGAGGAATAAAGGAGTTGGGAGAGGTCATCAGCAAGTGGCACTGCCAGGTACTAGCTCCATTGCACAGGGTACGTACTTTCGACCCCACTCTCCAAAGCACAGGAATTTATTCCTGCCTTCTAGGTAAGTCTTAACACTTCCTGTGCCAATGGGAGTAGTCCTGTGTCTTTATCTGGTTGTATTATGCCCTTTCTATACCCAGGACACAGCCCATTGGCTCAAGACATTCCCAAAAGGAAAGTTCTTTTCTAACAGGTCAAATCAACACCTGAAAAAGTTTGTATTTTGACAACCTCTTGTCCCCTAACAGAAGGATAATTTTAAGCATTCTTGTTGCTTAATTCTAAGTTGCTACGGAGTTGCTATTCTAATGGCAACAGAGCCATTTTCTCCCTTGCTCCTTTGTTTCAGTTTTGTTCCTTGGTCTGTACATGGTCAAAAAGTGGCATTGGTTTCTCCAGTCCCATCACATGCAGTATACAGAACGCTGAGGCCAACCATGTCAGCATTCATTTCTCATACTAATCATAATTCCAGTACTTTTAGAAAAAAAGAAAAGTTATGCAGAAGGAGTTTAGACTGAAAATGCAGACCTGGGATTTGCCATAAAAAACCCAACCCCAAAACAATGCAAGATGCATCTGTTAGAATGTGAAAAGACAAAAAACGTCAACTAGTACTGCTCCTGAAGTGGCCAAATTTTACTAAACTGAGGTGTGGCATTGAGATTTTAGTAATTAAAGTTCTATTGCTATACCAAGGACATTTAATTTTACCCTCTCTCCTCATGTGAAGCTCTCCCTGACATCCATTAGAATTCTTCAGTGAACTGGGCACATCCTGTAACCCTGGCTGGAGCCTCCACTCGAGCCTGCAGCTAAAACTGGAAGTTGGCCATCTCCACAGCTGGGAGTTTCAGCCCAATTTATTCACAAGCACTTGTTACGTTACGTGCTATAGTGTGGTGAAAAACTGCATAGTCTGACTGATTTCACACATTCTTAACCTTCTTGTGCAGTGTATCATACTCTGGATTCTTGTAGTAGTTACAGGATACTAAATTCTCCATGTCTACTTTGCCACTTGCCTGTCCTCCTGCATCCCTAAGGATGTTAATGACAGGGATCTGAATACAATTAAATAATTTAATGACAACACAGACATTTTGGATACTTTATATAAAGAATAAAACCAGTTTATTAACATCATAACAACTCCTCCGAAATGACACCCCCCAACTACTCTTCATAAAACAACATAAAACTATCAAGCTTCTGTTTCCAGCTTCTCACCTCCATGCCCCACGTGGACTAAGAAACTTGCAAAACTATCAATGCTTTGAAATAGTTTTGGTAAGTCTTCCAAACCACATTGTTCTGTTTGAGTTACAAAAAAACTGTCCATACCTAACAAAAGTAATCTTCCCAAGAGTGAAAACTGAAGAGAAGTTTTCACACAGGGAATCTCTCATGCATCTAACAACATGTGGAAGGAGCATAACATTGTCTACACCAAGCTACAGAAGACAGTAATGTTTTTATATGCACATTTTTCTGTTTCACTTTGCAAACAGGTAAACATACATTTTATTTCCTGTATGAAAAACCATCTCAAACACATGTTCTTTTGACTGCCATGAAACAGCAGCTTATAGCTGTGAAAAAGCAAAAATATGGATGTTGTCTATTATGTATATGGCTCTGCAAAACTGCACTGTCTCTGTTATACTTAAGTTTACTCTCCAGAACACTTTTCCATCTTTCCAGGCTTGTTTCCACTTCACAGTGTGGTTTTGTCCTGTGTGGCACATGGAATTTCTGTTACAAAAAGACACTGAGAATGTTGCTCAAGAAACCTTTCTGGCCTTTTGATACAATACAAATATGGTCATTTTGATGTGTATTTCACATGGACCCAGCAAGTATAAAAACATCAAATACAGGACTTAACAGCAAAGTTGCTTAAATTGGCTACTGGCTTATCATGGTGATATAGGGGAGAATCAGTATCTTGACAAAACACCCAAGTAATGGTGTGAGGAGCTTGCTTTGCTTGTTAATATAAAACATGACTGAGATTACATCCTATCAGCTGAAGACGATACTCAGGAGATGGAGCCAAAACATCGCACAAATTTTACACAGTCCCAAATTAAGCCTGAAGGTCAATGATTAACCTCTGTCTGAAAAATAAAGCAATGTTGGGCATTTTTTTCTGGGGATGATCTAAGTGAAAATTCAAGTTTGCTTATAGTGGAAAAAATTCTGCTGTCTCCAGAACATCCCAAGCTTTGAAGCCATACAGATTACAAAGAGAATTTTCTCCTTATGCATCTCTCAAACACAGTATTAGCCACATCTGGTACTGCTTACAGAAATGTGGGATTTAGCTGCGGGTCAGATAGCCTCTGTCTAATTCCAAGGGAGATTAAGCTACAAAGGATCTTACAAAAAGTAATTAGCAAAATTACTTACTTTCTCACTACCAGTTTTAATTTGTTGAAACCTTCCAAAATTGCTCGTCACTAATGCTGGAGTAGCTGCAAAAACATCAGTTTAGATCCCTCATCTGAAACCTGATCACTCCTTACCCACTCTTTCAGCTACTGGGAAGCAAAAGCAGCAGAATGCGACTGGATTTGGCTAGATGGATTTGACCAGCCTTACAAATCGCAGAGCCATCCTGGTGAATACCAAAGGATGGAACTCCAAAGTTTGCTTGAACTAGTATCAACTGCACTTCAGGAAATTTTGAGGTAAGGGGCTTTTAAAGAAATGCCACCTGACTGTTAGTACTGAGTCTACCATTTTTTAGAAGGAAGGCAGATAAGATCCCTACAGAAGAATGATATCCTGCGGAAACACAACAGCCTCTATCCTTGTGTTTTTCTGTACAGGTTGCACAGGAGGAAAGTAGTGATCCAATGCAGTCATCAGATTCAATCCTCTCTCTTCCAGTAACAACTCCCAGACAGACTGGATGAACAGTGCTATTGAAAAAGGACAGCACCTGGCCCTGAAGAGCATCAGGAATCTAACAACTGATGACCAAGATTAATGGCATCAGATTAAAAGCATGAAGCTCAAGACTAGAGTGGCAACCTCCTCCAAACTAAAAAACCCACCACCACCAAGATCATTATGGCTTTCATTATGGCAAAGGACACCTGCAATAATACTGCTGGAACTGGGAAAAGACCTTTCCTCCCTGCCAAAGAAGGGAAAGATTTTTCAAACTTTGAAGTCTTATGGCACCATTTTGATCTCATTTATGATGGAACAGCTTTAAAAAATCATGAACTTCTATAACCAAAAGAGCAGAAATGTTTAGCACGAGAAGATTTAAAAGGGATGGAGAGCAGGACCAAGAGAGCTGTATTACTGGCATGTTTGTGAAGGTTGGTACTGGAGATCTAAACTAACATTACAGAATTTGGGAGCTCAGGCAAGTATCATCATTGACAGAGGTCCCATTGATTTGCCACCTGAGTTTTTCTGATATGAAATACTTGGCTCTTCGTACTCAGGCTGCAGATGAGTAGATGAAATGGGACTTAAGCAATTCATGCTCTGAAACTGATTCAGGATTTTCAGGTGGAAAAAAAGAAGAAATCCTGGAGAACCAGGAAGGGTAGAACAAGCTTGCTAGAATCCTCCATCTCATCATGCAGTCAGCAGAAACTAAAAAATAGGCAAACTCACCTCCTTCTAAGAGCACAATCGAGAAAGTAAGTTTTCCTTTTCAGTGGAAGTATCTGTACATACAAATGTGAAGCCATACACAAGGTATTATATTATGAAGGCACAAACTAAACCTTCAGCTGTGAGCAATGTGTGCAGACTCTCTCAGTTCTGTGAAGAAAGGTATAGTAAGTCAGGCATGTCTCAAGGGATTCTGAAGCTATTTTATTCCTAGTGCTTTTTATTGCAATAAGGAAATTAAGATCTAAGGTGCACACAAATGGGACAATATCCTCACAAGTTACTGTGAGGAAGACAAAAGGAAACACGTATTACTTGTACAGACTATGAAGCAAGGTGGGAGATGTCTCACTGAAGAACAGCAGATACACTCAGACAATGCACTTATCCACACTTACATCTAGACTTATAGTACACTTATCTCTTGCTGGGAAAAACAAGCTAGTGCTAGCTTCTCTGTAAAAAAGGAGAATGTAGGTTCTGAGACAACAGCTTCCTCATCATCTAATGATGCCTTTATAAAACAAGTATGTAAGTCAGTGTGACAGTCTATACAGTTAGGGAAAAAATTACTCTCTCTGTGCTATCTGCATTATCATCAATATAAGCATTTAAAAAAACAACTTGAGTTTGAAACTTTGCTGTAAATCAGTAAGGCACTGTCCAAACTCAGTGGGAACTGCCTTTATTAATCTGTGTTATTTTCAGCAATGATTGCTATAACATTAAAAAACTCAAAAGTCTTAACTAATTAATGACTACTGAAACAGCCAGACCTTCTCAGCCCATTTCATATTCTCCTGAAGCCATTTTAGAGCAGAAAAAAGCTCCAAGCTGTAAACTTCTTCCATATTGATATTCATGGTCAGGTGCTTAAGAAAAAGCTTTGGATCAGACAGACGAGCTGCTAGGATCAGTCTCTGCACTGCCACTTGATAGTGTGTCTGGTCTTCACATCTGTAAGGGAATTTTCACAAATACAGAATTAGGTACCACTCAGGCCCTGGGTCACTTGCCTGACACTTTATACAGGCAGCGAGATTACAGGAACATTAAAATAATTCCTTGTATTTACTTAACTGATAATATATTATGTTAATTTCTAGAGAGATTTTAGGCTATTATTCTGAAAATTAAAAAGTTAGAAAAAGTATATTTTTAACATATATTACAGTAATGAAAAGTAATAAGCTTTAATGGCAGTGCAAAGTGGCTCTGTGATATTCACAGCACATTTCATGAAAAAATGTTTGTCTCTGGGCTGGAAAATTCAGTAAAGGGAGTGCAAACCACTGAATGAACTGGATATAACAAGAATTCATGCACATGCTTGAATCCAAAAGGATTACTCCTTTTTGGCATGTAATCACTTTTGGAACAAGGCTGTGCCGAAGTGACATGCCTACAGTTTTTTTGCACAAGCAGAATGTATTTTTAAAGAAAAACAAGCAGAGGTACAATAACATACACATGAAAACAAGAGATAAAGTTCTCATTTACCAAAGTAACAAAATTAAGAGATGTATTCCATGGGAAGGATAGAGGAGAAGGAGAACAGAGTACTCAGGTTTGAGATGCCTGTGTTCATACTTCTTAACAAATGTAGTTTTTCTGTGCAGTTTCAGATTTTGATGCTGAGCCACTCAAACTCAGAGAAAATGGGGCCTTGAAATAAATGGCACCTATAATCTAGTGACAATGGCCGGTGGTTTATGGACAAAAGGGAAAAAGCAACAAAACACATTTTTAGTCTGAAGGCATTGAGACTCTCAGAAAAGGGGGAAAAAAACCCCTAACAAATTTAATACTGAGACATCCTTCATGAAGAGAATTAAGTAAAATGGCTCCATGCACTCTCCAAAATAAATCAGCCAAGGCACATTAGAGCTGGTTTTAGAAAGCAGTAATATTTTGACTGCGCCCTTCTACTCCACTGCTTAACCACAACACAACAATCTATATAGCAAGGTATCAAGTCATCCTGTGTTTGAAAATACAGTAGATTCTTAGTGTGGTAGACACTTTCAGTTGGGGAACACAGGCCAGTATCACTCTGGAACAATTACTTTCCTGCTACACACATGTAGAAATGACAATGATAAACACCCCCCGCCCCCCCAAGATGTACTGTTCTATAACCAGTTCAAAAGCAATGATAAAATCAAGTTAAAAGCCAAGCATTCTCTTTCCCAGATACTGGAAAGTAAGCTCTCTTGTTAATTTACATGACGACATGGATAAGTACAATCAAAATGGTAAATATCTGACAACAAACCTTTTCAGTATTATTTGAAGAGTCTGACTAGTAGTCATTGAACTTAGAATATCACTGGCATTTGAAACAAGAAAAATTTCAATGGCCAACAGCATCTCAACTTCAGACAGGTAAGATGGAATATTCAAAAGCTTGTGATGTAAATTTCCCTGCAGCTGTGGGTAGCAACCCAGTGACAAAGCACCTGAGAGTAAATGCAGAAACATGAGGAATTAGGATTACCAATGTGTGAATAAGAAAAAAAAAACCAAACCCCAAACTCTCATTGGATTTTACTATTTCACCTATGAAATGGCCTGATTTGAGAGCATAGCAAATAGTGTTCACACCTAAAATTCACTGCTGTAAGATGTTGTTTTTTTAGTAACAGAATCAAATCAGTAAAGAATGTCACACTACAGAGAGACAGCTCTTGGTGTACCCTAGCAGACTGGCACACCCAGTATTATCTTAGCTCAGAAATGGGGAGTTGAAAACAATTACAGACTATTAGCTCTTAGTTGAAAGGAATGTTCTTATAGTTAGGATAAACTTCTTAGCCAAACTTCTCAAATCTTAAATGTTAATAATTTTACCATCACATCTCTAAAAAGAAGTATAAGGAAATCTAATTCGCCTAGATTAAAAAGTGAAGATGATGCACTTTTCAACCACTTCAGGGTGCACATTTCTGAAACTCTGAAACTGAATGTAAAAAATTAATTTTATCAGAATTACATTTATTTCATGCCAGGTTGTATACACCAGTTCTTATTTTCAACTGTCACTATTCCCCAATTAACTCCTGATACTGACACAGAAAGTACAGATTTTTTTCTTACCCATTTCTCCCTAACACTGAGCTGTTATAAGCATATTTTCCAAACAACATGAGGGGAGTATATTGTTTAAGAAGCAACTTACTTTTGTAATAGGTCCTAGCTTTAGACCACAAAGAACTTCTTCCCAAAGCTGTGATTAATCTTCTAAGTAAAGGAAACTTAATAGCAATGTTTTTTGAAAGCATGAAGTCTACTGCAGAAGACGAGACTCCAAGGTTCTTGTTCCCAAAACAGGCATTTATCAGCTCATTAAAAAGGCAGCTGTACTGAGAAACATCTACAGCATCTGAAATGAAATGAAGAATGTTAACTACTGAATTCAATCAAATGCAAATCTAAGTGAAGAATCATTTCTCAATCAGTACTTAAATCAGGATTCTTGCTTCTATCAGCAAAATGGATAACATCAATACTTTGTTCATCAGAAGTACTTTCCTAGAGTAGTTCATTCACATTGTAGAAGAGAAGTGTTAAAGTCTGAATAACAATTTGCTATGAAATTCAACAGGATCGGAAAAAAATATATTCACTTTCCCAAGCCTATAAATACACTCTTCACCTGACCTCTCAGACTTAAAATTTCCACCAATAAAAATCACCTTGGTGCTTCCAGTTCTGCTTCTACTCTTACTCTGAACCGTTCCCTTCTTGACACGACTGAGCAGCCTTGTATTCACCTCATACCTCAAAGAACTAGAGCCTTTCAGTATTCTCTAAGTAGATTAGTCTTCCAACTAATCTCTCCTAACAGACCTAAAAGCACACACTGGCAATAGACCGAGACCCACACACAGGAATCAGCTGAGGTTTCCTCAATGGAGCCTAAGTAACTATGCATCTCATCTTGCAGTAGGCATCCAAAATTTGTCAGATAAATTGAGCCCAAAAGAGCGCTTGGTTCTTAACATGGTATGTAAAAGATGCCTAGGTTAGCTCAGTTACAGAAAGAAGTCCCCAATGCATTTATCTGCAATTAACATAAAATGAATCATGCCAATGATACCCCTATTTTATCTCATTGTATAGACTGTGTATGATCTTTAAAAATTTAATGAGTCTTTCCTGTTACCCTGTGTAACTGAGCCAATTGCAAAAGGAGAACAGAAGTAAAAACTGGGCATGTGTACACACACAGGCACGTGTGTGCAGCAAGAGCCACAGGGTACAATACATATTTTAAGTGACACTACAGTCGTTGGGAAAAAATCTACTCGTTGTCTAAAACCATCTTGCTTCTTCAATAAATTTTAGCTGGAAAACACAAATGAACAGTACAGAATCATCTGTTCCATTTTTAGCTCTTAACACAGTACCTTTTTCTTTACTTACCAGAATGCATTTGAAAACCTGGTAGGTTCTGCAGAACTTCAAACGCCTGCCTGTACAAACTCTTCCTCAAGTACTTGTGCACTAGGGTACATAACAGATTATGTCGATTGATGATGTCCATTTTATCACAGGGCCACAATGGTGAATTTGTGGTCCACTCTGACTCTGTGGCAAACAACAGTGCAGTGTTACTTCTACGAACTGAAACTGCTGGATGCTGAGACTTATGGCCATTGAGAATATACTGTGAACTGAGGTACGACACAAGACTCGTACTGCACCAAAAGCGTAATCCTGATTATTAGTAATTCATTCCTTATGACCAATACTCCTCAGGTGGATTCTCTGAACTCCTTTTATTAAATATCATGGTAGCAAAATGGACTGTTAATGACATATAAATGTCTATTGCTAGAAGTGTATGTACCTCTATGAAATTAAATACCAAATTTTAGATCCTCAGTATTACTTTACAGAACACATTCTATTCTTTATGCTTCCAAGTTTCCACTTTTCATCAGATCAGAATTCCATAAAGCCAGAAAGAACATGTTATTTAATTGCAGGACTATGGTACTGTTCTAAGGCAATTCTATTACATGGGGAGACTGTGAGGTGTAAAGAAACGCTGCATTGACCCAAGCCTGAAATTTTTTTGACACTGAATGTCCCGACTCAAAGGAAATCGAAATGGGGGAGGGTTGTTTTCCAAGCTGCACTGCTCCCTCATTACATCAGGCTTTTGAGCAGAATGGCGTTGTAGCAGACTACTGTGAAAACTTTCCTGAAAAAAATTAATATTAGTCATAATATTTCTTATACATATCAAGAATAATACTAACATGTAAGGTAGATTACTTTTGCTTCTGTGGTCCTAGTATAAACTTGATTTAATAACACAGACCAGCTTGTAACTCTTCTCTGAAATCTGTCATGAAAGGGAACTGTTCAAACCTAAGTCAAAACTGTAAGACATGCTTACCTCTCAACACCCACGTCGCTTCATGCAAGCTTCCAGCATTAAGCAAGATTTCTGCAGCTTTATTAACAATCTGACATCTTGATGCTAACTTCCCTGCACCTACAAGTCCTTTCAAGAGTGTGAAACGTATCTGTAGCTCATTCAATTTATTCAAAACTTTCCTTCCCTAGTGGGAGAGGGAGAATGGGAAGGGGAAAGGTCAGAGAAGCAATGATACCAGTGAACACAGAATATATTTATACAAAATACAGCAGATTTAGTTTACAATACACATTTATAGGCAACAGTTTAGCTCTCGAAACTGTGAGTTGAGGGAGAAGTATAGTAAATTTTCTAATGAAGAGTAAGGGGTTTTTTACTGTGTAGACAAAACCCTCCACCAACCCATTGCTGAGGAGTTCCCAGCACAGTACTCCCCATAACATTATTTCTATTAGATAATGTTCATATACAGTGTTCCTAATATACTTTGTAATTATTTTGCATTTGCTTATTTTAGCTTATTAATACCTTTGTTTTTGATTCTATTCAGCACTACACAATCTACAAAATTCTAAAAAGAACAGCAAGTTTTCATTTTGCAGCACAGACATAGCTGGTAAACTGAAATAATTGCTCCAGCATAAGCCAAGGAAAATACTGATGTATTAGTGTCCTGTATGCAGCAGGACAATAAACTGGAAAAAGCTGGGCCTATCTGGCCAACAGTATAACAAACAACTTTATCATCAGATTCCAGGTTGGTATTTTGATTGGTTTTCTACAGAAGCTTCATCTTCACAACTTTTGTTGTCATTTCAGTCAAAAATGGCAGAAAGGTAGTAGTCTCAAAGATAATTCTAAAAAAGATGATGGATGAGTCAAGGTGGGATATCAAAATAATGTTCCCAGCAAGTCAAGAATTCAGGACTTGTCCTGTCTAGCTGCACCTTGTTGGGACAAAAGTACAAACCAGACATGTTTCTGCTCTTGTTTAATGGGTGCACCGATGAGGAGACGGCTTATTAAAAATCGTGATCCTGTGTGTACATGCATTGTGGTGGTGGAACAAGGGTCATGGGGGTAGAGGGAAAGGGAGGTCTAAGAGAACAGAGAAGCTGACAGAAATGAAGCTTACTTTTTAAGAAGCTCACTTCTTGAAAATGCTTTATGCATTTGCTCATACAGACTGTGGACTCATTAATGCCCAAACTGGAGCCTTTTGAATGCCTACAAGTATCTGCAATCCTTTATCTCAGCATAACCCATAAAAAAATACTAACATCACTGCAGTTAACAAATCTATCACTATCTTACTTTATGGACCACTTTTTGGAGAAAAAAAAGACATGGTAGCAAGTAGATAACTAGCCTTAACCACAAGATTAGGGATTTATCCGATACATACAATGGAGTGAAACTGGTTGGAGTGTGGTAGGAATGACAGTTCTAGTTCATGTATGAAATGGAGACCAATTTTTGATCTGTCAGTTCTGATAAAAATCATTCACAGCACAGCCTCATTCACACTCCCATATGGACAACAGAGCTTTCCTACAGGGCTATTAGAGGAGCTTGGTCAGCTGTGTGGTGAGAGGTGGGTTTGGTACCTAACACAACATTTTCAAAGAAACAAAGATCTTTTGCTCTAGACATAAGAGAAATCACAGTATCGTAAGAAGCATCTACTTTTACTAACTCCTGTTACACAAGAAAAACACTACATGTGCTTTTGACATCTTGCACCTCTGAAATTAGGACATGAAGATGAATCTCCTTGGAATATCAGGGGTTGTGCAATCCAAATATCAGGATCGCCCTTCAGATGGATCTGGGAAACGGCTAAAACGTATGAAGGCATACAAACACTATATGCTGAAGACAGTCAAAACCCAAGCCAAACTAAACTCTTCAATGAGCATGTGAGCACTGCCACCCCTGAATGCCAAAATTTAGACTACCTCATCTGTGGTCAGGAGTATCTTACCCATTCTAACTGCAGAGTTTTGTGGAACAAAAATGTCTAAAAATGTTCTAGTGCGGTATTAGGAAAGTGCTAATGCAAAGACCTTCTCTTTATCACACTGTGCTGCAGCTTGCAGAGACCTGCTGAAGATCACTCAACAAGCTGATGCTGCAAAATTAATGATTCATCAGAATGGGTGTACTGCCTCTAGACTGAGCACCTCTATCAAACAGCTCCTTGGACTTGGCTTCACCCTGGAAACAGACTGAGCAGCATACAGGTTTTACGTAATAGTGTTCCTGAAGGTCATCCCCTTGAGACAATAGTACTAAAGACAATTTAATTCCTTGATGTGAATCAGAAAGGGTTCCTTGATGATAATTCACAAAAAAACCACAACCCAAAACCCCAAGAGACAAAAGAGGACAACGAGAGTGTTTGCTTTTGTCGATAAAAACTCATGCTAAATATCATCTTGTATGGGATGAGGAACACCCCAGAACATCATAATTATTAGTGGAAAGGATCAGGGCCAAGTTCAGCATATGATTACCAACCAAAACACACTCCAAAATCACTGGTGGTTTCTATAATTTCTTATGCTGTCACTGGTCAAGTTGCACTGTACAGGAGATCTAGTTTGGTATACATTGCTTCCCTCCAGGAAGAAAAAGATGACTCCAATATTGAAATAGGTCTTCCTGCAGTGGAATTATGACCAATACCGCATGTGGCCTAAGGAGTGTAAAACAAAGTGAGAAGCCTAGTCTCTTAGCCCTGGCCCCCTGTAATACCTGACAGCAAGAAAGGATTGTAAAGGGTATTTCTTGTAATGTCCAAGTTTTCCAAGATTCATAGAACTCAGGACCTTGAATTCAATGGAAGAAATGCACTTCCAGTGATGTTCTGGGGAATAAGCAGTTCACCAAGCACAGCACCAGCAGCCTTACTATGTTGCTTTCCTGTCTTTCTGGCTGTTGGAGATCAGGTGTAGAAGCACCAGTGCAGGAAACTGCCCAAACTTCTCTAAATATTACTTGAGATGGGAGGTCTCAGAATGCAGCATCATTGCCAGACAAAGAAGTGACATTCCTGGGAAACAATCCCATCAGCATTTGACCCCAGAATCTCAGGAAGACCTGTCTCCTAATTCAGATTCAACCTCAGCTCAGAAAAAGCAAAAGCTGAGCCTGAACAATCAAGTTTCTAGGTTGCAAGACAAAGTTATGATAGGCTCCACGGAAGACTGCACAGAAAGGCACAATAAAATGCTTTGATGCAGCTGGACAATCAAGCAGCACTAAGATGGTGGGGAGGGAGGTGGCATATCTAGCTACTCAACTTGAGAAACACAGTTTAACATCTAGAAAAGAAATTACTAATTCTTTTTCTTTCACACAGGCTCCTATAATCCAGTATACCTTTATCCACTGCAGTACTTTGTGATAGGAATACATGACGCTTATCCCAGTCCTTCCAAGGAAAAGTCTGTCTGCTTCTTTATTTTGAGAATATTTTATTACTGGAAAGAAAAAGCATTGTTTATTTAATATTTGTCTCATATTCATAATTTATATTTTTGCATATGTTTATAATGTATTTAATATATTAGTGCACTAGCACATGTATGCAATTTTAAAATAAATAAATTGGGGGTGAGGGCTCAAAAATGTTTTAGTGATGGAAGTGCCTATATCAGTTTGGAGACCACTGCTTGAGGGAAGACAAAGTTCCAATTCCATCAAAATCTTCTCTCTGCGTCACAACTGGAAGCTGTGACATATGTTCTATAATACGAATTCTGTGGTCAGAAAGGTCATGTCACATGTCTGAAATAAATATTCAGCATGTTTTAGTCGGTAATACAGGTTGAAAAAATCTGAGTCATTCATTATAAAATGCTTTAATATCCCACTGACAGTTTACTGAGCCTCAGTAATCTGCAAATTTATTAGGAAGAATAATACAGATATGCAAATGAACAGGCATAAGGAGGAAAGGGGAAAAAAAACCTGCTAGCACTATTAAAGCAGACTCAGCCCTTCTTTAGAGAATAAAATAATTCTAAAAATCCAAATTACAGACTGAAAATAAGACACAATATACATTATGTAACCTTGTTCACCGTGTTTTGAAACACACAACTATACATATATATTTACAGCTCTAAAGTTTATTTATGCTATTAATAGTGTGACACTTCACATGACAATGACATTTGCCTTTATCCTGAGTATAGAACACTGTTATTAAAAGATCAGGAATTTTGGTTTATCTTCTTGATTTCACAAATCTCAGCTGCTCTTCTTTCAGAATATTCTGTGATTTTAAGTGCAAGCACTGTGGATTTTACTTCTACTAGAAAATGTCTTCTATTGAACATTACAGATGATTGTATTTGCACCTCAGGAAATTCTCAATATTGTAACACAAAACTAAGTAATAGTCAGAAAACTGTATGAATTAGTTTTTTATCTCTTTTAAAAATTCTACAAAGAATAAAGAAAAGGATTTCTTGCATCTTAATTTACCTGCATCAGCAAAGTCACAAAAAGGAACTCCTGGTCTCTGTGTCTCAGCATCTTTGGCTAGTATTTCAGCAATAGATAAAAGCAATTTCTGCATATCATCAAACCGCTCACATCCAGTTCTTGCACGAAGATACAAAGCTCCCAGCTTGGCCCAATCACTTTTTTCCTTACAATGCTATGAAGAAGGCAAGGGATAAATATAAGCAAATCTGCTTCCAGAACACCCACACAGAAAATACACTGAAATTTGAGGAATACACCTGGGATAGACTTAAAGCAGAAAAGAGCTGCAGATGAAATGTTACTGCCAAGAACCTCCATGTTCAATATGGCAGAGCTACATGTTGCCTAACTTGCATGGACTACTGATTACTTCTGTACCTCAACAAATTAAATTCCTTTTTCCATGCCATGACCCCAGTTGGGGAAGCTCATAACTTAATCATCCAATTCAAGAACTGGCATTCATCCAGAATTTTAGTACTTTTTTTTTTTTTTTTTGCACAATGCATGCCAAATTTATGGTAGTTCTTTTTTTTTTTTTTTTGCACAATCCATGCCAAATTTATGGCTATTTTATATATGACTTAGACTTTTGCTTGCCAGGTCACCTGGTGTTAAGGGAGTAAAAAAATCAGTCCTGATTCTCCCCTTCTTGTATTTCAGTCTCTGGACCTGTGCAGTATATAGGACAATATGCAAACTATATTATAATTGTGCATAATAAGTAATCTGACCGTGAATACGAAAGACACAAATGTCCAATTTAAAGAATGTTTTACAGTATCTTCCTATTCTTGCTTAATGTTGCCAGTTTCAGCCCTTTACAATTGAGTGCTTTTATACCAGATATGAACTCTGTCTGCTAAATAACATATTACATAAATTTTTGGTGAGGAATGATGTACCACAACCAATGTTAAGGCACAGGAAATAATTGCTTAAAGTTATAAAATCTTTGAATTAAATGCAAAACCAAGATAAAAACTACAAGTATGTAAATTGAAATCCTGACATTCCAGAAAAGCCAAAGACAGTTTTCCCTTGCGTGTTAAGCCCTCCCAAAGATGGCTTTGCATACAAGTATTTATCATAAGCTCGATATATTTAATAACGAAGCCCACTAATTTAAAATGAGGTAGAAATTGCTATTTCTTGTAGGTTTAAAAGAAGTCATGGTGTAAGTATTCCAACAGGTCTGAAGAATGCACATACTGTACCTGAATTTCAGCCACTGCCAAGTTGAAGTCAAAAAGCCACTTTGTCTCAAAATGTCTCTCCTTAAATCTTCCATAATAAAAAAATGTTAATAATTTTAACACATCCTATTGAACTAAATTATGCATTAGCAGCAGGTGAACAACAAATTATCAATTATGAACAATAAACTGATGTGATCTTGGATCCTATTTACTTCACATTATGTAACCTGTACACTAAAAACACTCATTTATAATCTTGCCAAGGGAAGTCAGTACATTACTAACCAAATAACTGAGCAGAGCTATCTTCACAGACTATATTCCCTTGTCTCAGTAGAAATGGAACTGAAAAGGTAGGAATAAGACTTGCAATCTATTAAGTAAAGGCAGAACTGTACTGTATGTATTTCTGACATAAAATGACAAGTGCTAGTCACCTAGGAGCACAACACTTCTTTCTGATGCCACCACTGAAACAATGGATACATCTACCCAGTGTGATGCTGCCATGCAGAGACACATGACCTACACATGCATAAGCTAACACATGCAACTGAAGTAGCACAGCTGCTCAGTCTTCAATAGATATAGGCAATTTCTCACCGTCAACTGAACACACTCACATACTGAGGCAACCTGGAAGAGGACATTTCTTTGTCAGATTCCTGATATAAAAAGTGGTAAGAATTACCTCCAACATTACCAGTTGTGTTTTACCAGCACCTTACCAGTGTGATACGTTGCACTGCTCAAACACTAAGATCCATGGCTGAAAGTATGTTACGGGAAAAGTATGCAAAAGCAGCACATAATTTCTACAGTGCATTCAGCAGAAACAGTGGTGGTTTGTTTTCAGATGCTGCATATTTAGTTTCCTCTAAGAACCAAAGGTATGTTTATAAATTGCAGATTTAGTTTCTCAACTTTTGTGTGTGTGTATGATGCAGATGATAAAAACAGGAAAAAGGATCACAATCTTGTTTAAGTGATGGGGAGGTATCAACAGTTTTGGAACAGATTTGACATTTTGCCCAGCATGATCCAGCAGTACTTGAAAAATGACCCTCCTCTCTAGTTGTGTTGGCACAAGTGCTTATGTAGTCACACTGTAAAGAAAACTAGAAAACTACTTCAGATTATAACTAATCCTCTTACTGCCTAGAAGGGATATTTATTGCAGAATTAGTGTTTCCTTACGTGGACCTCAATGATTTATTAAACCATGATGTTGCTGATTTGACTAGTTACATAAACTTGCAGCACAGCTGGGAGCAGACTGTACAACAATGATCGATATGGAAAACACTAGCTAACCATAACTGCAGTCAGAATCTAAGTTTTGACTTAATCTTTGAAGCACAGTAGATTGACAGCACTCTAAAATACAATTAGGCATGATACAAGAGTATTTTCATCCAAAACATCTTTTAAAGATTTTACATAAATTTATAAAAATAGACTCTGAAGAAGGAACTAGACAGATATAATCATGAAATAGCTCCTTAAAGACATACCTGGATTTTATGTTCAAAACAGTACTTATTTCCCAACTGGAAACTTGCAACTGGTTAAGTAACTTGATAATACAGTCAAAATGCTCTAACTCAGGGAACATACCAGCATCAATGAGCTGCAATATCAAACAAGGTAAGAAAAGTAATCATACAAAAAGTTGTGATCACTTAATGTATTTTCAGAAGTGGCAAACAACATTGGGAAAAACATGTCACAGTGAATCTCAGCCAAAAAAAAAAAGGATAAATGAAAACTGCACCACAACTTCAGTGAGTCACAATATAACTTTGAATGTTACTTCAGTATTTTTTAAAATGATATGTCTGAATTTTAAAACAGGCAAGATATTTCAGAAATTCCAACAAGCAGCAGCAGCACAAACACACATACCTTACAAAAAGTACTGATTAATGTAGGCACAGCATCTCTTATATTCAAAGAAGCCACATGCTCAAAAACTTTCAGAAGAACATCTACAGCTGGCTGATCCAGACAGAAAAAACCAAAAAGCACAGTCAGTTTTGCAGCTCTGTTCAATTAGAAAGCTTAGAGATTTTATAACAGAAGCTTTTGAATTTCTCCTCTCCAAGATTTGAGGACCAGAGTAAAAACAAGCTTATTACTACAAATGCACAGTACTCAAAAAACCTAAGTAACTATGGAACTAAGATTTAAAAAAATATTACAAGGTCACCTACCACTGTCTTGATTTGTACAGTTACATTCAATATCTGAAATACTTCCTGCAACAAACAGTTCTTGAGCAAAGAGACAAGAAGATCATTCAGCACTTGAGAAGCAAAATCCACACCAGGAATAACTCCTCTGTAATACTGCACAAATATTTGGACTGAAAAAAGCAATTAAATTAATTTCACTGTGGAGTAACTGATGTTAACTATAAAAACAAATTATTTCCTTATATTTTAAATGCAGTGAACAACCTTTAATTATTCAAGGCATTATGGGGACAGGGATATGGAGAAAAATGGACAAAAGGATCCAGTTTGAACCCAGTGATAACCTTACTATACCCAGACTGATTACTTTGACACACCTCATGTCATTTTGCTGAATACCATAAGCCCAGTAGATTTCCAGACAGTTTAGCTGATTTGGTGCAGCACAAGAAAAAATGCCCCAAACCAGGTTAGATTTGGTACATATACCAAGGTAACAAAGGCTTTTTCAGACATGAAGCTCTGGGAAGTGAAGTGCAGTGTTATGGTGGATGTTCTTATAACTTGTTCCAGTGCTAGCCTCAATAGACAGGTACTGCAGCCTGCTGGTACAGTGTCACCCTCATGAAAATGCTCAGGATTCCAGCAGAGGAACATAACAGCACAGGGTGCAACTGAATCCCCTGTGCACATTCTGCTACACTCTAAGAGGCTTTCAAAAGCTTACGACTGCTCAGGACAGCTACAAAAGGAATAACTGTCCAGAGTAAAAAATACAAACCAAACCACAAAACAAAAGAAGCCCTTTCTGACTGAATTCAAAAGCTCAGATGGATCTGAATCACATGCAGAGCCTAAAACGTGGTAATCAAAATTGTCTGCATATGTGGTAGTGCGTAAGTAAACTAAAGCTGTCTGGGTGCTGTAGCAACACTTCATTTCAAGAGCTTCATTCTAAAGTTTTTGAGTTTGTGATTTCTGGCCAGGGTGTTCAAAAGCATCTTAACAATATCTGGGTTCTGTTAAACCTCCCTCAGCCCCAGTCATGTATTTCTCAAGTCTAGTTACAGTAGGCTAGGTTCATTTTTTGCAGGAATAAGATTACTAACAACCTCCTGAGATAACTGTGCATCTAAGCCTCACTGGGAAATTCAAACATGAAAACACAGGGTTGAATGTATTCATTTGAAATAAGAACAACTTATTTACTGTTGAGGTGGTACCCATTTCTCTCCTAACAGTCTATTTAATTTGCTTTAAATAAGCTAAGTATCAAAGGTACAGTAAAAGCTACTACTGTATCATACCTGCACGTTTTAGGAGGCCTGATTCTTTGATGTCAATGTATGTCCTAAGTATTGCCATGCAAATCTAGGAAAAAAAATAGACTATAGTAAAATGTTGCCTCAGTTTATGCCAAACAAAAGAACTACCCACAAACAAGTTTCTAGTATGCAATGAGCTTTACACTGCTTCTACTTAAATCATACATACTGACAAATGGTATAAGAAGGTAACTGGATCTGTAGGCACAGATTTGGTCAAAAGGTCAGCAAATCACACAGGAAAATAACCTAGATGAAATGTTTGGGAAAGGAGCTGCTGCAACCACAGCTGTGTGCTGCAACCACAGCTTTGTGCATGTGTGTGTATGTACTCATAGCAAACAGGAAAAAAAAAAAGAAGACTGTGAAAATGCAGTTGCCTCAGAATTAGTATAAATGTGGCAGGCTGTAAACAAAAAAAGAAATGGAAACAAAAAGGTGAACGTGGAACATGATAAACAAAAATTACATGAATGTACCAAGAAATCAAAAAATAACTTAGAAATGGTTATTTTGACCATTTGATCATGACAAAGAATCACTGATAAGGACACAGATGAAAAAGCTCAGAACTAACTTGATTTTATGAACCATTCCACCCCAGACCCACTTGTATTGGAACACACTTGAAATCTTAAGCTGTCAGTTTTCTGATACTTAGACATTTTGCTCCATCTCTGCAGATCAAGAAATAAAGACTACTGAGATTTCATCTTAGAATTCCAAGTTAGGGAAAAACCCACCCACCCTTTGTCACTTCTGGAATATTTAGAGTCTTTCTGCACAACAATGTAAACGGGTCATATTTAATACTTTTTGTGAAACAATGAAAAAATCAAGAGACAGAAAATGCCCTAAATTAGTAGTCATGTTATTACAGAATTGAGTCAGGTTTATTTTTACATCCAAGTCCAAAATTACACAGGATCCATTCACAGAGTTTGCTATACAACAAATGAATTATGATCAGAGCATAAGATACTGGCTTGTGGCCATGACATCTTTCTTTTTTTAAAAAAACATTAACCTGTTCAGATCATCAAGCCAAAGAATGCAAAAACTGTACATCTAAATATGCTGAATATAAATAAAGCTTATTTTCATAGCTTACTGCTTTTATTTTGAAACAGTATAATAATGTGGTTGAACTATAGTCCAAGATAGACCTTTCAGAAAATCATGTCAAATTTTTGATCGTTAATGTATGTGCAGTGCCACTTGGCAATGGGTTAAACTCATTTAATCCCAATCTATAATCCCAGGTGGATGAATGCATTTCCAAAGCAAACTGTAGCAAACAAACAGTATGGAAATTAGTTTGCTTTCTTTTGGAATCTGTTTTTCTCCTTCTTTGGACTGACTCCCAAAAAAGGCCAAGATTGCATCTGGAGCTCTGACTGTTCCAAGTATTAGTGAAATTGCTTGGAAAAGCCACTTGTGGTAGCATTTAATCACAGGACATGTTACATTACATTGATAAAAGAAACTGAATGTGTTACTCATTTACAGCTTCTAGAAGGCTTTAGCTGATTTAGCTGTCTCAATTTTAAAAAGTGTAACTGCACCTACAGACCATGTAAAAATGTGAAAACCTTGAGCTGACAGTAATAGATTTTGAATGAAGGTACATGAAAGAGATGAATCCTATTTTTAAAAGAGAGTGTAAATCACACTATTCTGTCATCTCTCAGTTGATTCCATGACTCGTTTAGCACAACAATTTAATAAAATCTCTAATAAAAGACTGTGTATCTTGTACAACCAACCAACTGTCCAGCAAAACACAGCCCTACTACAGTAACACAGAAGTGCTGGTGATCAGAACAAGCGGCACAGGAATTTATGAAACCCTTCAGCATCTCCCACTTTGTGTGCACTCTCGTGTTTAAATGGCTAAAAGCCCATGCTGCAGCCCTTTGCTCAGTGAAATCAAGCCCAGGATCCTTTTTACTAGAGATTCTGTTTATGGGCCCTGTAGAATGCTCGTGGTGTACACTGCCTATGTGACTGAATAGGGATAGGGTTTAGTCACTCCCTATTAAACATGGCTGAGACTGACCAACAGCTTCAGAAATTAGTTAATGGTGGTTAGAGACAGTAGTAAAAGGATAGTGTAAAGTCTCATTTCTTTAGGAAGACAGATTTTAAAAAAGAAAAGCCCAGAACACCACAACAGAAGCACACACCCAGGGCCCTGAAGCTGAGAGAAAACGTTAATGAAGACAGAAAGCTTCCTATTTTATATCCTGTTTGTTTCCAGTTCATAGCGTCAAGGAAAAAAAGTATATCCTGTTTGTTTCCAGTTCATAGCATCAAGGCAAAAAAAAAAAAAGAGTAAGAAGTCACAAAAAAGTAAACATTTCTTTAGTCTAAAATGCCTAATGAGTAAGGTGCACAAAGCCAAAATAAAATCAGACAGAGAAATACCGTTTGTATGAAGACATGTTTTCCAATCACTTATTTAGCCATGCAATTGTTATCTATGCTGTACTCTGAAGTGTCTCTCAAGCAAAAATATTTCCTGTATCACTCGCACTGTCTCGTCCTTTAACTGGACACCACTGAGAAGAGTCCAGCTTCATCATCTTCACCCTCTCTCCATCAGATACTGACACATATTTTTAAGATCTGCCCCCCCCATACTTTGGTGAATTTTTAAAATACAGTCTTAATAGTTTCATTTACTTTGCCTAACACAAAACAGATTTCACTGTTTGAAATTAAAGGCATCTTTTAAAAATAAATAAAACCTGGTAACTTGCACAACTTGCTGAGCTCAAGAGTGTGCTGATTTTCAAAACATATGATGTTTTTGTAAATTAAAATCACTGCTGTGTTGTGTGATCAACCACAACTGTGAAGAGTGTTAAATACTAGGAAGTTATGCTTTAAAGCATCCATCAGTTACTTAATGGAAAGGCAAGAATATCCATTACAGGGAAAGGTATTTCTCCTCCGAAGTTCTGGCAACAATCATCCCTAAAAACAGTGCAAAGCAAGTGGACTGCCAGTCTGCACAACAGTTTCTGGAGAGATTTACCTCTCCTGTATATGATCAGATGACTTTGTTGCTGCTTTACCTGTTTTCCATTTATGTACTTTGGTGCCACCATGAGGTGCTTGGCCTATTACCATTTTCAAATGGACAGGCCTAAAAGTATAAATAAATGTACAAACAAACAAAACTCAAAGTGTACTTTCAGACTACCAAGAAAGCAGAACAGTTAAAGTGTGCTGAAGTGCTGCACCACACTAAAATCGAATAGAATGAATTTTTAATAGTTTTAGGCAAACAATTCCTTATGTGTCCGTATATAACAAAGCACAACAATCCATGATAATTCATATAAACTAGCAGAAAATTACTAATATTCTCTACAGTCTGCCAAAGATATTTTACAAATGAGGAGAGAGGAAGATGTCCCATACAAAACTACTCTCAAATTATCTTAGTATTTTTAAGATGTTATATAAATTTTCAAAGGGCTTTTCTTTGAGATGTATAAAGGAGTAGAGAAAACATTAAGAAAAATCAACCCAAATTACACTGCTGTATTTTAAAATTTTTGACACAATATGTTTAACATATCAAGGAGACAAATAAGCTCCTTTAGATGTCACTTCTTTTTTAGTAATTCTGTCTAACAGGTTCACTACAAGTTATTTTTTACATTTTGATCCTGAAATTTCTTACTTACTGACACAAATGATAAAACTGTACTCATACCAATAAGATGGTAGGTAAACAAATCTTTTAAGACCTGATGAGGACAAGTTTAGGCATTTGTCTTTGTTTAGTTGTTTTAACGTTTTTATTTGCTTCCAAGAGACTTATAAAACCATCAAAGTGTTGGTTTCATACAGTCAATTCCAAAATCTTCCTACATGACAGCACAATTAGCTTGCCTTGCACAGTTCTTGGAAGCATCTCAGACTCATGTCTTTGTTAAATGGTTTGAAAACACATCTACTTCGTCCATCACTGCAAAACTATTTTTGCTTGCAAATATTATGAGAATTGTTGCTCCGTTTAAGGAGATTCCAGCATCTTTAAACAAACATGCCTGCTTTACACAAAACATGCAGAAAGGCACATACCATAGATGGCTTTTGACTCGCACAAGACATACAAAGTCTATGTTTGCTGAAAGCCTTCGACACTTAGGATAGAAATGTCTCAGAGCCTGCCTAGTCTACTACTCTATATTTGTACAGCCTAATTCTTGCTCTTTTACTGATGTCTGTGCTCTCAAGAAGTCTGCTAGTTCAACCTACCATGTTTTAAAAAAACCCCAACTTAAAAAAGATCTTGAGAAGAAGAATTTCTGAGCATTTTTTTCATCCATCAGTGTCTGAAATGTACTCCCTTTCCACATAGAAATGAACAAAGGAGACCATGTTCAGCATTTAAAAAGTATTCACACTTACAATCTGTTCCTTTCTTCAATAAATTTTGTTACCTTTTCATCCCTTTGTTCAGGCACATGCCTTAAGCAACAGTTTGTTCTTTTACACCCACGTGAAGTCATGAAATAATATCTGCAGTATTTATGGGGCAAGTCAAGTGCATCAAGGATCTGCTGGACTGAACGAGAAGCCTGAAATAAAAGAAAAACAAAACAAGAAGGAACCAAGCAGACAGTAGTTTTTGAAAGCAAACATTGTTCTTTTTGTTTTTGAAGAATTTCAAAATATCAACAAATTCTTAAAAAAGCAAAAAACGTGATCTATAATTATGCCTCTGAAATAATCCTCATCTCTATACCATATCTGCAGCATTTCAGAGACGACAAAGATCTATCCTTTGTCACGTCACGTTAGCGTCTAACGCAACAAAAGCCTGTCTTGAAGACCACAACCAGAAAGAATGCAAGAACTGCTAAATGAGATGGACAACGAGTAGAGAGGAGGAAGAAAGGTGACAAGCTCCTGCACGGCTCTGAGTAACGGTCTGAGAATTCTGGGGCATCAATTTCCTCTCCCTTTTTTCAGTGTGCAGCACAATGGATAAAGCAGGCTGCCTTAAACATGTGAAACCTTGTCTGCACTGCAGTTCTACAAAAAACAACAAAGCAAAAAGCATTATTTGATTTTGCTTAAGCTGAAAACAGAAATCAAGAAAGCTCCACAGTGAATAGCTGTCTCCTCATCATGGATTTTGTTCTCAAGAGATTGTATTTACTCAGTGATAGCATCCTTAAAGGCATAGAAACATAAACATACATAGATTCAGAATTTCTGACTCGATATATGGAGAACTGTCTGCATATGCGTAAGAAAATTAGTGCCAAAGGATCAGAAAATCAGCAAGGACTTAACAACTCACAGTTGCATTTTTCTCCATCTTCCATGGCTCAAAACCTCCACAATTCCTCAGTGGCAGTAAAGGACTTTTTCCAGAAGGTTTGTAGCCTAAAAATTAGGATGAGGGCAGCAAACGGATCATGTAATAAAATCGAATCATACTGAAACCACTCTCATTTATCTTATTTTCCTTTATATTTATAGTAACTTCAAGTCACAGCAATGATTAATGAAAACTTGATTAATACAGTCTAAAGCCAGTAATTTAAGTTACAGTTTTCTTAATTATTCTAAAACTGAAACTTCACATAAACTTCAAGGGTAAGCACATTTAAATTAAAAACTTCACTACTTTATCCAAGGTTCCTACTCTAACTTACAGAGATAAGTAAAGAAATGGAATTAAAATATCCAGAAGTTTTAATTTCAAAGGGAAAAAAACCCACCCACTTTATCAGTGATCTTTGCATTTCAACATCACTAGCCAAAAATTCAAACTATTTTTTCAGAATTGAAAGAAAACCTTTCATACTCTCATGTTTTAAGTGGTGCAGTAGCAGGCTTAAGCCCAGTATAAGTTACTGGTTTCTTAACCATGAAACTTGGTTTTAGAACTTTAATTATTATTATTAAGTAACAGATTTCTTTCTTTGAAAAATGAATAATGTTAATGGAAGATATAAGTTCAAATTTTCAACTCCATATCTAAAGAGAAATAAGAGCTTTTGAATGCCTTGCTTTCTAGGGTTCCCATCTGGCCCCTTCAAAGCATGTTCAAAAGGAAGGGTGCTTGGCTCTTTCCTACCAACTATAGTTACTAAAGAGCATCCAACAAGGAATGTTCTACTAGAGACTTGCACTAAGTACATGGTTCTTAATCTGCATGTCTTCCTAAACAGACAGGACTATCAAAGCATAGAAAGGAGAAACACAATGTAAAACAATTAAATATCCTAATGTGCTGAGCTGTCACAGCTGCAAAAACTTTGTGCAGTGATGGTGGCAATTCCATGAATTCAGGATTGGACAAACTTAAGTGACAAGAAAAAGTCTGAGAAAACAGCCAACCACTAGCTGCAGCAAAATGCTACTGGGAACTTGGTCTCAAGAGTCTTTCCTCCAGGTTCTTGCCATCAACAAAGCACAGAGTTTCTGACCAGGTCCTTTCAAGAGTCTGTACTCTCCCTGCTGACTGTAGGCCACACCTGTAGGGAAGCAGGCACTAAAGTGAAATAACCAATCCTGCCTGCACAGTTCTGGGAATAAAAGGCTGTTTTGCTCTGTCCTGGCACAGAATCTCTTGGCAACTGTTTCAAGTGGTTTTAAGAAAGAAGATTTAGGAGAACTCTTCAGAAGATGTATACATTTTTAAGGGCAAAGAGATGCGATGTATTTCACAGCTGTTTTTTATAGCCTCTATGTTTCTTGCACTTCCTGAAAATACTGTTAAATGACATGATGATAAAAATCACTCTACAAGCTCAGACTAGCATTGTAATTTGAAACTAAGCAAGAACCGGTGTCACTGATCTTAATTCAGGAAATCCATGTTCATAAACATCCATATTAATCAATAATTCTAAAAACATTAATTCCCAAAGCAGTGTTGCAAAGGAACAGAACGCAGTATGTATCAGTAAGTAATCAATTCCTGGTTTTCTCTATCGTGTATGTCAAATAAACTACGCGTTTATGTAAGGCTAAATGTCAGATTTGTTATGTGCAGTGACTACAGCTCCATTCCATTATGACTTCTCTGGTGGCAGAGACATGAAAGAGGTATCTGTCCTATATGTGAAATATTCTGGTCAACATGAAGTGCTATTCATTAAATCTAGGTAATTTCCTTAATCCAATCTAGCAAATGCCTCATAAACATCTGAATTGGCATAAACTACGAAGTTCTGACCCTCAGCAAGGTGGGCAAATAATTTTAGCAAGTTTTGTCAACAACCACCAACCAAGAAAATCTGCAGTCACCTTCTCTGACCACAAATAAAGAAAAACAAGTTACTTGCTAATAACATGGCTTAAACATAATGTGTCAAACCAGTAAGAATGCAGCCATTGCTGCACCAATAAAGTATCTGAGAACAACAGATACCAAGACAGAATGATTACTATTTGATTCTACCAAACAGAATTCTGCTAAAGAACCCAACCCAGAAAACCTTGCTAACCTATCATATGAGAGCTTGCAGTTTTGCTTCTATGTATGTGAACTAAAATTCCAGCCAACACTTTCAGGAACCAAAGAAATTCCTTGAGATTTTATGGGTAAATAAAGCACATGAAAAAATAAATTCTGGAGGGTTCACCAACGGAGCATACAATACCATTTGTCCAGGACCTCATCACTGTAGCTTCACTGAAGATATTTACTTTGGGGTCATTCACTGGCAATCTTGATAGCAATTCACAGTTCTCAAGATCTTTGGATTTACAGTCACTGTTGAGTATTAAAAAACAAGGATGTGTTTAACCAAATTAAAAAGGTACTGCCCTCATATACAGAATGCCTAAAAAGGAGGATTAAGCATATAAAACAGGAGCATTTCTTCAACAATTTATGCAACCCTTCAAAGCTTCCTATAAATTTAAATAGCTATCAGTCCCAACAACTGTATTTTCAATACTCTCATTGCCTGGTCCAATTTGATTATGATCTTTGCTGAGATTATTCTGTCCTAAAGCAGAACCACAGAGATGGCACCTGTGAACCACTTCTTTTTTTCCCCCCACTATGCTGACATGAAGACTGAGGTTATTTCTATCACCTCTGAGGAAGCATCTACTTTACAGGAGTCTGTTATGTAATATCTGCCAAAGGAGTAATTGACAAAGCTTCTGAAACTACACTTGAAGAGGCAAGCGTTTTCCTTCCTGAAAATCTGACTCTACTGGGCAGAAGATTTAGGTGATTTCAAAGGGAACTCCAATTAATGACTGCTCTGCCTTTAACTATTCCCAAATAAGTATATATAATCTACAGTCAGTCTGTTTAAGTTTTAATTAACAGCATCATTAGAAGTGGAGTTTGCTAAACAAGACCAGCAACTCTGTTTTCTTCGAGATGAAACTTTGCAACGGTAACACTTCGTGTAAAAGTGAAGAAAATAGTTTGACTCCAAAGGAAGGCCTTGTCCCTAACCACACAGAGTGCTGCAGTATCACTCATACAAACATATTTTATCCAGCATAATCTATTTATTCTATAGCATAAATAGTTCTTTATGCTACTAAGGTAAATTTAAACAAGTATTTTACCAGGAGGAGGAGCTTGGAGCTCTTTAGTGGATTAATGAAAAGATGCAGTCTTCTGCATTAACAGACTTCTGGCACACTCCAAGTCTGTCACAGAAATGTGACTAGTGTTGGGAAAAATAAGTAATATTCCCTTCTATGCCAGCTCAGGTTTCTTGACTATTGTGAAAATTACTCTGAAATGCACAATTTCTCTTGTAATTAATTAAGTATTCCATCAGTTTACTATACTTTTTCTACAAAACCTAATTTCACTTCATTTTTGGACTGCTGTTGAATGGAAGTTTCTTAATCTGACACTCAGTGTACAGTAAACACCATCAGCACAGCCTGAAGCCAGCAGAACAGTAAAGCTTAACTCCACATCACGTGTTTTTAAGCACCTTTTTCTACTGTGGTACAAATATCTGTCAGCCTGAATTTGAACGAGATCTTTCAATTCTTTCATAAGTTTATAAAGTCACAAGAGGCAGAAAACAGGAAGTTTCATTTATTTATTACTATTATTTGGTTTTGTTAAGTTCTGCCAAGTGCTGTTGTGGCTAGAAATGTATCTTATGCTTATACTCACATTGAGAAGCAAAGGTGAGACACTGTCATAAAGTGGATATATTTTGTCACCAGTCAGAGGACAAAATAATCTCTATTGTCCTGTCAGGCTATGACTATACTTGTCCTGTGCTTTGCACAGTGAAATTATATTACTTCACATATTTATTTTCTTCATCACATAGTCACAGTAACACAGAAAATCTGAATTAGATACTGATGCTGTTTTGGCAAAAAACATCATGTTTCATTGGTACAGTAACTGCCACAGGTTACATGAAGGACACATGATACACACCTTTCTCCAGCTTCACTCTTTTTTTCTTGTTCAACATCAGGCACTCCATCAGCAGGCTTGAACTGTGAAGATATTTAAAATGTATTTTCAGGTACAGCAAAGCACTACTAGGCTTGTCATGCTTCATTCTACAGACTTAAACTGTTAGTGATTGTTGGAAGATGTGAGAATATAGTCTTGACTGTAGAAACTGTAATTTGGATCTTTTTAAATGGACATACTACCATTATGCTCTGTGATCTTTAAAACAGTGATTTTTAATTGGAAAAAAAAGGTGATTTGATTGCCTTCACTTCTCTTTCCTCCCACAGATAATCCTATCCATTTTTAGGCCCACTGCCCAATTTTAACTGCACCTGACAAATGTGTCTAAACCCACAAAAGACTTTCCATCAAGATTAATGAAATTTAAAGCTGTACTGAGGAGAAATCTAAGGCTTTTTCTCAGCTATGCACCAGGGTGTATAGGTAAAAAAATCCCCAATGATACGGAGAAAAAAGACAGCACCTAACATATTTACGGGTACGAATCTGAAAGGACTGATATAGAACAGTCATGGAATCTTGGCTTTGTTTGGTCCATTATTCATGAAGTAATTCACGTTCTATCACAAATTTTGATAGCCAAAGAATTAGTGATAGATACACTCTCATCAGATTTCCAGACTTCATCTTACCAGTTCCCCAGACTTTTTTAGTATTTTGTCCATGGGTACTTTTTGCCCTTCTCACAGGACTGTTAACTGGAAAAGCCATCAAAAAGCACAATCCAAGTATCACCCCAAATGGTAGAGTACTTGCAGCAAGTGTTCTGCCATTGCATTCTCTCCCCAGGTCTGCACAGCTAGTTTCCCATCCACATACAGAACAGGTTTAGGGCCTTAGCATGTATTCTGTGGCTTAAGTTTGAGGTTTAGGTGAGGTTATTTGTACATATTTACTGTTTTCCAACACAGCACAGAAAAGCAAACATTAGGACACTGATTTTTAGGACACTGATTACAGAGAGGTGGCACTGCCCATGGCAGGGGGGGCTGGGACTAGATGATCTTCAAGGTCCATTCCAACCCCTTGATATGCTATGATACTATGATTTGATAAAGCCACACCACTATGAAGCAGCCCAATTGGGACTGACCTGGAAATACTGCGACAAGTACTGCACCTTCAGCAAACTGTACTATTTGACAGATCCTTTTACTCTAAGAGGTCAGGGAACAAAATAGCACTGTTAACTTTGTGAATCAGATGTAAGCAGCTCTAATTCCACTTCCTGAAGAAAATGTTTCTATTCTTTTAAATAATGATTTTGAAAGGGAAACTGATTCTCTACTGTTTGAGTAACTTATCAATTACTTACCAGCTTTAAATCATGTGAATGTTACAGTTTAACTTATCTGGTTAAAACCATTATCTACTCTTGAAGGAGTAGAAAACAGTAAATGCTATCAGCAGCTGTGTCTGAGTGGCAGAGATGTAAATTCTAATCCCTTATCAAAGAAGTAAACAGTATAAAACTTCAGCAAGTCTTAAAAGACCTAGACTTATTATCTAAAGGAAGGAGGATAGAGAGAGTAGAAAGGTCAGATAAAGCCAGTGAGCATGAAAATGGCTTAACATTCCCTCTGAACTGCCAGGAAGTCAGTATGTTAATGCTTTTGCCCAAGTAATGAGGCACAGAATGATTCCTCTCAGATTCCTGATAGCTGTGCAGCTCCCCAGCTTTCCAACACCACCCCATCCTTTGGATACTTTGTGGTGAGAGGCATTTATCAGCAACTTTTAAAACAAGGCATGTTATGTAAAAATGTCACATATGCACAGTAGTACTCTTAGGTGTTCACTGGAAAAATAATTTTCATACCACTGGTAGCACAGCATTACTGTAACAAACAATATAACAAGATCTTGTTTAATTTCAAATTTGAAGATGAGTAATTAGTAACAACCAAAAAAATCTGTTCTGTTAAGCAAAACTTGCATGGTCAAATAGCACAGTAGTCTATGAAATGCTAATATTCTTTTATTACAGGAAATTAATGCTGATAAAACAGCATTAGTAGTTAAAATTATCCAATACATGGGTTATAATTTCTTACACTATTTAATGAGAAAAAGTGTTTCTCACTACCTTTTCATTCATGTCAAAACTCTTTAAAAGTTCAGGCAGTTTTCTTGGTTGTTCATGTTGAAGAAAGTCCTCAGTAACAGCTCTTAAAGGCCTGCTTCCTCTGGAGGAGTTGTGGGGTTTAGTGTTGTCAGCTGAAAATGCATAAAAACATTGTTTCATGTGTTTCCCATGCTATAAAGAAAAAGCTTTTATTTCCTAAATATTACAAAGTCTTAATGCTAATGACATTTAAAAATTAACCCAGGACTTCCTAAATACTAAGTCTATATAGAAGAATATTTCATGTTTAACACATGAACCATTTCAAATAAATATGAAACTGAATCTGCAGTAAAATTCCATTCAAGTGTATATTCTGCAATAGTCTCTGCAGAACAACAGAACAGGCTTATTTATAGAATACTGAATTATTTTAGAAATAAATTCAGTTAAGCTTTGCTATTAAAACCCACCCAAGATACGTGTGGCAGTTTGCTAAGCAAAAAGACTTAAGACTTTGCTGACAAAGGGCATAAGTTAATTGCAAAGACATGATACAATCCTGATCTAAATACAGATAGCTCTGAGAAAAACTCCAAATTCCTGTAATATAGTAAACTCAGTGACAATTCAGTGTCAGGAAATTTCAGCACCTTTTGCAGATGCCACATAAAATGAACAAAACACCTGACTGCAACTTCCTGAGGTAGCTCTTTATGTACAACAGAAGAGCTCTGCACAGGAAAGAATTGGATCACATGAATGAATTTCAACAGCACTGCATTGTCCAGGTACAGGAAGAAAGAACCAGGTTATTATTGGAAAAGCTTTTATCTTACAGTCACTGGTCTCTGCATGATCACCAGTACAAGACACATCTGGTTAAAGACTATGTACATAAGATTTCCACTTGAAAGGTGAAGAGGATTGATGTCATCCAAATACTTCAACTGTCGTATTTTTTGCCCCTCCTAGACAACGAAGCCACTGAGGCAAGCAGCCATGATTTCACTCCATAACACAGGACACCAAAGCAGTAATATGTATTTCTAAATAAATACATAAATACTCAGTAAATAACTAAACCAGGCACATTTCTTTTGTTCTGTGCAGGTCTTTTAAAAAAAGTCATGTACGTAAGTTACCATGTGCATATTGATCTAAAAGTGTGGTGTGATCCTGAGTCTCTCAGATCTGGGAAGGACTTACTGAAACCTTTGCCTTTACT